TATATATATATATATATATATATATATATATATATATATATATATATATATATATATATATATATATATATATATATATATATATATATATATTGCACCTTGGTGAAAGAAATAAAAATAAAATCTAGCCTTTAGATCTGATGCATCGTGCGGCTCAGATTGCATCTTGCGCTCAGATTTTGAGATAGTGCATTTTCAAAGGTTTTTGGTGCATTTTGACATTATGCATTTTCAAACCATTTTCGTGCACCTAATTTTGATACAATCCCGACCCTTAGATCTCACAATCTAAAGCACAAGATTCATTCTTATTTCTTTCATAAGATCGCATTCTCACTAGAACCATATATATACTTTTTCGTCTCATCTCTTTTTTTACGTTGCGCAAAACGAAGAAAAATTTTAAATTTTTTATTGTATTTTATTTAAATATTGGTATAGAAATAAAAAATAAAACTGGCATATTTAAAAATTATATTAAAAGCTTAACAAAATAAGTGGTGATATAAATATACTCCCTCCGTTCTACAAAACAGTTCCTGTTTTGACTTTTACAAAATTTAATTTTGTAGTTTAACTTTTCATTTAAATCATTAGCGTTGAAAAGAAAAGAGTGATAAATCACTTAATAACTTTAGAAATCATCCTAAATAGGACTAAAACATAAAGAAAAGTACCAAAATAGGACTTTCATGTTTTTTTGTCCCGGAATAGGACTTTGCATTGTGGTAATGTGACTTTGCATTGTGGTAATGTGGCAATGTACATGTGCAAATTACTATACTTTCTTGGTAATGTATATGACCATGTTTGGTAATGTATGTCCTATTTCAGGAATAAAAACATGGAAGTCCTATTTTGGTATATTTTCAATGTTTTAGTCCTACTTTGGTTTTTCTCCCTAATAACTTATTATATCAAGACAAAATAGATGGAGTATATTGGAATGACTTTATTTGGATTTATTAACCATTTTAATCAAAAAAGGAAGTGTTTTGATGAAAGCGAAAAAACAAGAGGAATTGTTTTCCAAACGGAGGGAGTATTATTTTATCATATTGGTCATGAAAAAATATAAATAAATAAAAGTTCTCTTGAAATTGAAATAGTGTTGTATAAAAAAATATGAGACAAACAGAGTGTATAATAAATAATCCAAAAGGGGAATAACATTATCTTTGTCTTTCGTCTATTATATTAAGTGCTCATAATAATAAATATTTTCATCTAAAAAATAACTATAATAGTACTCTATGAGAATTTTAAAATTCTCAGTCTCAAAGCGTGGATCATAAATAATACTCCCTCCGTCCCTAAATAGATTACAGTTTTTTTCTCTCTCCTCTTGATAACTTTTGTTTGTTTACGCAATTTCATTAAGTATTTGATAAAAAAATATTCTTTTCACCTCTTGTTTTGTAGAACTTTTGACGTAGTTTTTTAATATGTAATTTTTATATCTTATTGATATACCAATTTGTAAATAAAATGATTTCAAAAACTAGGAAATTTTACTCTGTAACCCGCAATGTGTAATCAAATTGGGGATAGAGGGAGTATCAGTTTAATAAATATCGGAATTATATAAGTAATAAGCACACCATTTATCCCTTATAGGATACACGTACGGGGCCAAAGTTAGATCCGACATACTTTTATGAAAACATGTAGCCATTGTAATACCTTCTAAAAAAATCTATTCATCGTGGGGTTATAAACATGCGAGAAAGTTAGAGTTGTATTATTAAAAACTTCTGACACGATATTTAATTTTTTAATGATAAGAAATTCATTCAGATCAATTATATGATTAAGTTCATACTTAAAAAATGAAGCAAGTTCTTCCAACTTATATGTATTATTCCATCTAATCGTAATGTTCTTAACAAATGTTATCAATAATCTATTTCTAGATTTACAGAAAGCCTTCCATGCATGAGAATTATTACGACAATCTCAAATTAATTTTAAACCAACTTTAATATTGGTTAACACCCCCTCCCCCATAGCTTGTAACCCCTGTTGAATATACAAATTTAAAACATGACATGTGCATCTTTAGTGTAGAAATCTGTCCATAGCGCTTCTAGGGGGGGGGACAAAGTTCTTTAAGTTTAAGAATGACACCGGTGTTATTAGTAGCATTATCAAAGGCAATTGCAAATACTTTATAAGTAAATTGTATTCTTTCAAAATACTCAAGAAAAAAAACAATATTATCACTCGTGTAAGATTTATTGAAATCACGAAATGCAAAAACTATGCTTATGCATCACCTAATTACTATCTATATGACAACTATACCTTGTAAGGGTTATAATACTCATATAGTCATTTCCTAAATGAATCCTCCTTAATTCCTTTTTAGGATGTCCCAAATTAATGTTCTTCTTTCCTTGCTTAGAAAGTTTTTGTGGCTCATCCTTTTTCTCTCGTTTGCATCACTTTCAACCAAAAAATTTTACTTTTCTTAAGCTCTGTACAAGGAACCAATTCAACCAAAAGCATAAGTTCGTGGTTGTGGCTCAGGAAATATTTCTTATATTCTAACACGCCCCCTCACGTGTAAGCATAGTTTCTTTTTTTCGAGCATTGCACGTGGAACGTTAATTTTTTAAAATTGGGTGGCGCTGAGTTTCGAACCTGTGACCTCTTAGTCAACAAGGCTCCGATACCCTGTTAAGGAACCAATTCAACCAAAAGCTTAAGCTCGTGGTTGTGGCTCAGGAAATATTTCTTATATTCTAACAAAGTCAAACTAGGAGTATTAATTTGGGACGGAGAGAGTAAGTTTCATTTCAAATATTAGAACTGATAGTAATACGAGATTTAAAAGTAAGACAAAAGTTAGCCAAATTATTTTTTCAACTTTATATTTTCTTATTATTTCTCTCTTAATTATTTTTCTTGAAAATTTTCTTGCTTGAGAGTTAAGTGTATTTTGACAATAATCAATAAAATCACATTTTTCAAAAAGCATGAGAGGTAAATTTTCCTTGCAAATATCTCGGTAATTTTTTGTTTATTTCGCTCGTTGTTATTAACAAAGAAGCCGCCCTTACCTTTTTGCAAAACGAGAAACTTAGATCTGTTGTCCCTTCTTCGCAGTCACTTTGGTAAACTCCACGGGGTGCTTCGCTTTGAGGTATTTGGTCGGTAAAATATAACCCCCAAAAATCCCTATATTTATGAATGCCCCACACTATTTGCAAATTCCTGTAACAATGTCATATATTGTTTTTCTATCAAGATGATATATAAATAAATCAGGATCAAATTTTTTTACTCACCTTAGATCTTTAGAGGTCTAAGGCTCACTTGTCTCCCCGCCTTCCCTGGTAGGGACGTTATTCTTGGTGTTATTTCCTCCGTCTCTTCATCCTCCTCGAAAACATCCTCAAGAGTTTAAAGATTCACATCATTCCTAATCCTTATGAATTGATCAAATTCTTGATCACTCATAGCATTGCCTATATATTGCTCCAGGATTGTCGGAAAGGACGAGACAGAGTGTCTAGTTTGAGAAACATGTGTGCTACATTCTTCAGACGTGATGGGGGCTTTGCCTTTGCTTGAACTTCTACGGTTCACACCTCCCATATCGGTAGCTAGACCTTCTATCCAACATTTTAAATAATATAAATTTTGATATTGAATAATATATTAATACTCCC